CATATGAGAAGATACGCGATCTACGGGAACCGCTGCGCTACCCATAAGAAGACTACGCAAGCCACGACGCTACCAGAAATGTCTTCGTTGTCTTCGTTTTACTACCCAGATGCTGTCGTCGCGCGCAACATTTGAAATTTATGAACTTTAATGACCATAAGTCACGTCAAAGGATACTTGAAAATGCATGAACTATTGTGGCCATAAGTCACGTTTATATTGCATGAATTTTTGTATTCAATGTTTGGAGATTTAATAATCATATTGGAAATGTAATACATGTCTTTTTATTTCCGAAGGTTGGGGATAGACTTTCCCCAAGGTACAGGCAACATCAATCCCACACCGCGTCGGTGTGTCGTCGCCGATTCGAGGCGGACGGCCGCGTCGCGTTACAATATGCATTTCATTGTCGTCCTGTTTTTTTTTCTTATGTTTTAAAATAAACTGGTGTATAAAATTTTTAATGTGTTGTAAGTTTTTTTTCTGTGTTAAATCACATAGCTTTACCTTGTCCGGATTTGATCATCGACCCGACAGGAAACTACAACTGCACAGGCATCAGCGGAACTGTAGGAGATTCTGTCACGTGTAGTTGTTATCTTGGTTATATGTACTCTGACAACAGTAACATCCGGGTCTTGGACTGCACCTTGATGACTGATAGTCCAGTGTGGTCCAACCGACTGGCATCATGCGGACGTAAGTGTTTAAACAAGTGAAATACTCGAACTTGTATGTAGCTTAATTAATGAAGAACACTTCTCACTAACAAAGATGTGCTACTACATCTGGTGCATTGATTATTGCATTTATCATTTTTTTTTTACTTTTCGTTCGTATTGTCATACCTTACGTTCCTACATTTACAGCACATACTCCCTCTCTTTGTTGCTGCTCTTATTCTTCTTATACATTAATGCAAGACTTCTTCCATTCTCCAAATTTTCCTGCTTTTTCCCTTGTTTTGAAAATTATTACAATGCTCATTCTAATCAAAAATTAGCACAATATATTTTTTTCATTTTACCTGTTATTGCTTTGTGACCAAAAAATAACCTGCAGGTACAACAGAGATATGCTCCCCGCCCACAATTCCAACAGAAAACCACGTGACCGGAAACGTTTCAGGAGCAATCGTCGGCGATGTCATCCTGTACGTTTGTGACCCTGGGTACGCAGTCCAAGCCGGCAACGCCTACGTGACCTCTGTTTCCGTTGAGTGCGTCAGTGCTAACAACACACATGAATTGGAGACAACTACGCCATCTAGCGAAAACTCGTCCAGTGGGGTCGCTGTTTGGGAAAGAGACCCACCTGTCTGCAAAGGTTTTAACAAAAAATTTATTAATTAAATTTTCATAGATTATCTTGGAAACAATCATATATTTTTATCACTATGACCATCCCGGTAAACAGCAGTACACTATAACACGATTTGCACTGTACGTTTCAAATGTGATGACATGTAGTTCTAGAAATGGTTTTCTTTTTCCATCTTATTCTTAATTACATAAGGGTTACCATGCCCGGAATTGATCATCAACGAGACCGGAAACTACAACTGCACAGGCACCAACGGTACGGTTGGAGATCTGGTCATGTGCACATGTTACCCTGGCTACGCATTCAATGATAGCAGTAACATCCGGGTAGTGAATTGTACCTGGATGACCGGCAATCTTGTTTGGTCCAACCAACTGACGTCATGCGAACGTAAGTATAATGAAGATTCATGTAAGCCGTAGTGTATAAGACAGCTTGTAGCATAATTGAAAAAGCTAAAGAAAGAGTTTTTCTTTCTTATTAACAGCTTTTGCTCTCAAATATATCACTTTTATATACTCTCTTTTCAATTATCAGCATTTCTTTTTTGTTGGTGTTACTAATTACCTCCTATTCTCCTCCACGTTGTAATTGCTTACTTTCTTCCTCTCCCTGTTTATTTCCGTCTTCCCTATATGATTACCCAATACACTTTAATCCATTTTGCCAACATTCCAGCCCAGCCCTGCCCAAACATCTCCACTGTTGTTACCCCCGATCACCATGTGACCTATGAGGACTCCGGCCCGGTGACTGTGGGACAAAACATCACCGTGAGATGTGAAGGTGGTTATGCACTGAGCGCTGAAAACCACACAGATACCGTTCAAACCCTCGAATGCGGTGCCAACGGGCCTTCGTCCGCTGCCTGGTGCAGTGTGGTAACGCCTTGTATAGGTGAGGGGTTAAGGACACCATGGAAACGTTAATGTCCGATTCCTATTTCATGCTTTGATAACAAATAATGCAATTGGTTTTAGAAGATGGCTATTTGTTCTAGATAGCTGCACCACTTTGTTTGTTTTTTTTTAATAAGAAATGAATTTGTATGAGAGTGTATTATGTGCTACTTGTGTCATAAACGACAATAACTTTATGCACATCATAAAAAGTAATGTGTGTTTCATTTTGAAAAATCAATATAACGTCAGCATATTATCCTCTTACACATATTATCTCTATAAAAAATTACCATTGCATAAGATTATCATTATTCTGAAGTTTAATTGATTCCTGATTGCTGTCTTCTGCCCTACCTATGTGTGTGATTTCAAAAGAAGACTTTCATATGACGAGTATTAATGGTTCTTGATTTCTGTGCCCGTTTCAGCTCTTCCCTGTCCATTAATTGAACTAACATCAGCGAACCACTTGGTGATGGCCAACCATTCAGGCTTTCTGGGGGACAGAATAACGTTTGAGTGCGAGGCCAATTACACGTTACCAGGATTTGTGACTACACTGGAAGTGAATTGCAGTTGGGACGGTTTGTCCACCAGTTGGTCTCAGCCTGTACCGACATGTGTGGGTAGGTGAAGCATCCACAGAAGACCGATTTCCCATAGTTTTAACATTAAGATTATAAAAAATTCACCAGTACATGTGTATGCAAGAACAAGTATCGGGGTCAGATGGTTTAGGTTGGTGACCGTTTCAGATAGCTCTGTACACAGAATGTTGTGCTTGAATATTTTTCCTACTTGAAATAGAATAATTTATATAGTCGATCGATCTTCCAAGTTACCTGTACTTCCTCTTTCAATGCTTAAAACTATAAATGTGCTTTACTAACTGAAATGATAACATCACATACCAAGCAGTGGTATGATGACGTGTAAATCTGGCAATTTAGAAAGTGTACTGGGACGTGCCAATTTGTATTTCCAGCCATTTGTGCTCCACCAATGAGTCCAAAAGAGAACCACGTGACCGGAAATGTTTCACGTGCACTTGTCGGTGACATCATCCTATACGTGTGTGATCCTGGATACGTTGTTCAAACTGGTGGCGTTTACGCGACCTCTGTACCTGTGGAGTGTGTCAGTGTAAACTCTACGCCATCTAGCGGAGATCTGCCCAGTGATAGTGCTGTTTGGGAATCCGCTCCCCCCATGTGTGTAGGTGAGAAAATTTATTTTACGGCAAATTTTACAGCTACTTAAATACTGTATCTCTCCTACTTCAGACTTCAAAAAGACAAATCACCTCAAAGAAGAATTTCAAAAAGATAAATCATCTTAAAGAAGAATACTTTTAAGGTGTCGATATTTCCTTCTGAATTGTACATGGAGATATTAGTCTAAGTCAATGCCTCATCTTTTAGAACTACGTTACTGACAAATGGTATAAATCTGCAAGCTGCGTAAAAGATTTCGAGGAAATTGGTGGGAAAAGGTCATGGATAGGTTACCTTTGATATTTAAATCACAGTTAGTTCAAACAGACGTCATAGTAACGACACTAAAACTCAAACACAGAATAGAGCGCGGCGCACTCTGTTGTTTAATAATTGCCAAATTTGTACTTCTGATCAAGTGTAACGTGACAGAGAGTCACCCATAACAGAGAGTCCGCTTTTCATTCATTTGTACAGATGAGCCTCGCCCTAGATTTTGATCCACTTAGGTCAAACTAACCCTAACCATTATCTCTATATGGAGGGCGGACTTCTGTTACACGGACCCTCAGTTTCGTTACACTGGCTCTATGTTTTGGTTCAATTATAATGCAGGTTACCCATGTCCTCCAATCACCACTTCGAATTGGAACCACGCCCATGTGAGCGGCAACTTGAATACGTCAAGGGTTGGAGATCAAGTAGACGTCTCCTGTGAGGCTGGGTACAGTCTGGATGGCGGTGTCACCACCAACTACTCCATAGCATGTGTTTTTGATAATGTAACAGCGGGAGAGTGGGAACAGCCACTGGCTAACTGCACTCGTAAGTAGGTGTGTGTGTGCGTGTGGGTTGCTATACGAAATCTACCGGTACAGTATAACAGTAATGGGCGAGTGAGTTTCGACCCCCAAGCAAGTGCATAAGCAAGAAGCACTAACATTTAAAAATCATGGGCAGCAATGAAAATATCCGTCTGAATCCAAACATGATTTTTATTATCAACATTGAAGTGCACGATGTATCGGTAGAGGAAGGTTTGTTTGAAAAGCCTACGCGAAGAGAGAACAGGACTTACGGTGCTGTTTATCACCAGCGTCTCTTAGTGTGCTGTTCATCACCAACGTCTTTTAAATGGAGATTTTGTTAAAATTAATCCAAGGCGTAAAGGGATTTTTATTTTGAAATCTTTTCAGTGTCAACTTAGCTCAGCATCTTCCATTGTTGACCAAGCTCAGCACATTTTGATACTTACCTCAACGTTCTTAGCTCAGCAAATTTTATTGCTGCTCGACGTAGCTCATTTCTTTGAATTTCTAAAGGTCTAACTCAGCATGTGTTCTGATCCTTAATGCTACCTTTTTGGAGATCCAAACTCTGTCTCTTACTATTTCGTATTGCCAAGCATTCGAAGCATTTATTCGGTGATTATTATTATTATTATTATTATTATTATATAATTAAATGTAAATCGTAGATACAAGTTAGCTGCAAAATGTCTTAAACTTTAGACAAGACATATTCAAGTTAACTCCTCCTCCCATTAAAATCTCATATTGCAGCAATGCCTTGCCCTTCAATATTAAACCTGAGAAATGATGGCGTAGAATTCAACAACTCTAATGCCAGGTACGGTGACGTCATCGAATTCACGTGTGCCCCTGGTTACGTGCATGAGGACCCCGCTGTGACGTCAGTGACGGTCGGCTGCATCTTACAAAATGAAAGCAGCTCACCTACGTGGGAGGTGGACCCCCCGCTTTGTTATGGTATGTTGGTATGTCTGCAGGCAAGTGACACGGTGTGCAAATGGTTTTCCACCATACAGCAGTTTGGCTAATGTTTCGGCCCACATGATACGTGGAATTCGGAAATCGAAAATAAAGTATTTAGATACAGGAACAATTTGATTTTAACGTTTGAAATTGATTTATTTGTGACCATGCCTTTGCGGTGTATACTGTAGCATCTGTCTTTTAGGATTACCGTGTCCAAATATGACATTCCCAGATGACGTCAGACTAACAGTGATGTCAAACGTTACTTCAAACGTCACAAGCGGGCTACAGTGGATAAGTGACGGCCGAGTGGGGGAAACGTACGCATTAAGTTGTGTTGAAGACAAAGTTTTCCCTGATGCTTCCTTGGAGTACATCGTAACCTGTGTGTGGAAGGGGAACGGAACGGGATGGGATAGAGAGGTCCCTTCTTGTAGAGGTAAGTCAATGGAAATTACTATATGACCATTGTGGTTATTTAATGGATCAGCATTTTCAGCATTTTCGTTACTTTTATAATATATATATATATATATATATATATATATATATATGTATAATATATACTTATATTATACATATATAATATAAGTATATATTATACATATAGGGG